TGTGCTTCCATAAAGAAATAGACTCAATGGAAGGTTTTATTTTTATTTTATTTTTTTAACTCAAAACTGTATTGTAATTTTTTTGGTAGTATTTTCTATGATTTTACAAACTGATCATTTTTATCCATCTCAGTTTTTCATTTGTACAACATCTTTGGACATATATTTTACATTAATGCCTTACATAAAGATTATAATGAAAATGTTAACATTATATTCATATTGTATTTCTAGTATTTTAGATAAAGGTATATCCTGTATGTATAACAATGACACATAATTATAGCTTTTTTTTCTTTTAATATCTCCTAGCTCTGAGCCCTTAAAAGTATCTCTTAAAATTGTATTATCTATCTGTTACTTTACTGACCTGTATTGGAAGCTCATGTATTCTGACTAAAATCTTTGTGGATGAATACAATCATATAGAGTGACTGTCTACAAATACTGTGGAATTCACACCAAGTAGCCTTATTTATAACAATGAAAAAGGAAAACTGGTTTTTTTTTTTTTAATTTTTTGTTTTTGTTTTTACATTCCTTTTCTAATCTTTTGGGGGTAAACAAATTCTTTCAATAAAATCTATTATCATTAAAGCTAAAATTGACAGTATTAGAAAAAACTAATACAGTCCTGTAATATTACTTATGATGAAAATAAGCCCCAGTGAGTTAAGCAGCTTCCCCATGGGGATACCACCAAGGTGACACAAACAAGCTTCCTGGTTCAGAACCCCGGTCTTCACTCCACCATACCCTGCGGTTCCCACAAGAAAAAGACCAATTGATTCTAATGAAGTAAGAAGTGCTGTCAATGTAATCTCGTTTGTTTTGTTTTTTTAAACAAATTGGGTCCACACCTCAATGTTGATCATACCTCCCCAACTGGAAAAGTGTGATCTGCTGAATCATCATTGGCTGCATGTCATGTGCCTTCCACTGGCTGGAGTTCCTCTAGGCAGGTATTGACAATTACTTCATCGTGTGGTACTGGCTGGCACAAAACTGATCATGTTCTTATCAGGCTGTATGAAGACTCCTGACCTCAGTCACTAAACCTGTCAGACTCGTTTCCTTTCTTGCCAGTGACTCTTATTATCTTCCAGCCTCCCAGTCCTGACCTGGCTGATACAGATCAGATGGTGACTGGATAGAAGCTGCCCCAGTCCTGGGTACATGATGTACGAGTAAGTACTCAGCTTTTCTCAGTAAGATTTGTCAATGGAGACAGAGATTTACAGTTCTCCAGACAGGTAGTATAGACGTTGACTGGTGGAGGTTGCTTTGAAAAACCAACAAACAAAAAAGATTGTTCATGTGTTATTGTATTTTGTGTTAAAGTTTTTCAAGTATGATATTGTATTTTATATTAAAGTTTTGCTGCTGTTGTTTTTAAATATGAGAATTTGAAACAAAAGGGTCCAATGTGGTCTTTCTTTTCAAAATAGTTGAAATAATATATCATAATAAATTGACCATAGTTAAACATTCAGAAAAACCTGTGTTTCAAATAATAAATTATTTAATATATTTTATTTAATTTCTTTAATATTTTCAATATCAAACCAAACTCACTGCCATTGAGTCTATTCCAGCTCACAGTGACCTTGTAGGACAGAGTAGAACTGTCCCATATGCTTTCCAAGGCTGTAACTCTTTAAGGAAGCAGACTGCCTCATCTTTTTGCTGTGAAGTGTCTGGTGAGTTCAAACCACCAACCTTTTGGTTAGCAGCTGAATGCTTTAACTACTATGCTCCAGAGCCCCTAGTATGTTCAATAGCATGGTATAAATTGTCATGTATTGGTTATTGAAGTAAAAGTAGAAATGTAAATTTAAGAAAGTCTACTAGAATTTTTATTTGTTTAATCCTAAATAAGAGAAAGTATTCTAGCAGTAGGATTATTGCATATATCACTCAAATGATTAAAATAAAAAATATTTGTAAATATTTAGTTTAGATAATTATTGAATTAACAAAATCTAAACTCAATATGACCTCTATCATAAATAGAACTCCCAAATAAATGATGAATAAATCAATTTGAGATAAATACATTTTTGAGCAGGTTTATATTTAGGTATTATTCATGCTGTTGTCTTATACACTCAGAAATGGATGATCATATTTGATGAGAGTAATTTCATTTAGGAGCTCTGGTAGTATAGTGCCTAAGGCACTTGACTGCCAACCAGAAGGCTGATGGTTCAAACCCACCAGCCACTCCTCAGAAGCAGGGGTTGCTATGAGTTGGGTCTGACTCAATGGTGCATAATAACAAGAATTTCATTTAGACATTTAGTCTAACCTATCTTCTCAAAGATGTCCTTGACTCTTCAGACATCAATTTCCCACATGTTCTTTGCTGACTGACATTTCAGAGTTAATCAAGATTTTGTGGTAATAGTAATTTTGTCTTCAATTAAATATAATTCTTCTAGCCTGTAGGTTCTGGCACTGTAAATGATCAGTGTTCTTGCTTCCCTAATTTACTCTAAAATAACAGCATGAGCCTGGCTAGTACTCCATCTATTTTATGCATAAAAGATTAGGACAGAGCAAAGACAAAATACACAAAGAAAATATTACCTTTATTTTTATAAACCTTGATATAAGTAAGATATGTTAACAATTTCAGTTTAAACAAATTAGCAAAAACCTTTGACTTTCTCTCACATTTATTTCAGAATTCTATGATATACCTTTTCTATCAGTCTGGCTCTCCTCTTCCCAATGTAAGGCATCACTTTTTCCATTCTCTAAGTTTTCCATGCCAGATTATTATTAAAAAGAGAAATGTTGTATCATGAAGCCTCATCCACTTTGGTTCCAGATTTTATAGTTCTGAGGATATTAGAAGTCTTTCTAGCTGGAATGCAGGCCAGTATTGCTTGCAACGCAGATTTTCTGTCAAAAAAAGAATTATATATATATATATACACACACACACATATACATATGTATATACATATGTGTGTGTGTGTATATATATATATATATATATATATATATATAGAAAGAGAGAGAGAGAGAGAGAGAGAGAGAGAGAGCCATAGGGATCAGATAAGGGGTTTAGGCAGTAGGTTAATTGAATTCATTACCAAAAACCAAACCAAACACTGCTATTGAGTTGATTCGACTCATAGCAATCCCTCTTTGGGTTTCCGAGGCAGTACCTCTACAGAAGTAGATTGCCTAACCTTCCTTCTGAGGAGTGGCTGGTGGGTTTGAACCTTCAGTTTTCTGGTTAGCCGTCAAATACCTTAGGCACTACGCCACCAGAACTCCCTTTGTTCGTAAAGATAATTTGCCCAAAGGATCTAGCCTCAAAGAGTGAATGAGTCAGATGTGCACAAGTGTGGTAGTTAAGGTTGTTTGTCGACTTTGCTGGGCCATTGTTTTGAGTAGCTGAGCAGCTGGATGCAGTTATTCACCATAATGAGATTGAATGTGGCGAAATCAACTCTATGGCAGAACCTGCTGCAAGCAGCTGGTTCATTGCCTTCAGGATGTGGCCTGCTCAGTATATAAGGAGACGCTTTGAGGAAGGTCTCAAACTTCTTGGCACATCTGGATCCTGCATTTGGCCAAGTCATCATTAGCCTCCCATGTTGCCTGCTGATTTTAGACTTGAACTACTGGTCAGCAGTGTTGTTTGCTAATCTTAGGACTTTGCCATTTTACCTGCCAACCTTGGGTTTCTTAGTTTCAGCAGCCAATAGATGCCTAAGAGATGCCTCCAACTCTTGGGCTGGGAGCAAGAGTCAGAGCTTAAGCCCAAGGCAAAGGGGCCTTAACCCAGCCCTTAGAGCCAGCATTTTGAACTTGGACTTCTAGCCTTCTAAACTGTAAGAGAAAAAAAATCCCTGTTTGTTAGAGCCATCCATTTGTGGTATATCTGTTACAGCAGCACTAGAAAATCAAAACAAAGTTTTTTTTAGCAAAATGTGGTATCTTTCTCATTATTCAATATGCTAAGGAGAGGCACTGTAGTATATAGAAAGAGTAAAAGAATGAGATTTAAATGTTTTCTAGCTCTAGTTTTGGCTAAGTCACTAATATTTCAAAATTTCACTTATTTTTCTGTGAAGTGTGAAAAATTTAGAGTTTATGCTAAAATAAATGGAAAATTTTCGGTATAAATGACCCTTGGAATCATTTTCAATGATGACTACAAAGCCCTGGTGGTACTCAGATGCTAACTGAAAGGTTGGCAGTTCCAACCCACCCAGCTATTATATGGGGGAAAGCCTAGAAATCTGTTCTCATAAAGATTCCAAAAAAAACCCCCAAACTCTCTGCCATTGAGTACATTCTGACCATATCAACCCCCATTGGGTTTCCAAGGCTGTAAATCTTTACAGTATACTGCCCCATCTTTCTTCCTCGGAATGGCTGATGGGTTTGAACCACCAACCCTTTGATTAGCAGCCCAATGCCTTAACCACTATGCTACCAAAGTAGCCTAGAAAACTTTAGGGGACATTTCTACTGTGTCACCTGGGGTTGCCATGATTTGAAAATTGGCTCTATGGCACTTAACAACAACATCATAAATGGTAAGTTTGAGTGTTATACTGTGGAATTGTTTCAGATAGATACAGAGTATGTGTGAGTTCCATGATGTGAGTACACATGGACAAAAATAATTTTTAAAACCACTACACTAAAAAAAAAAAAAAAAAAAAAAAAAAAACTATACAAAATAAACTACAAAACACTAATACAAAAAAAAAATTCACTGCTGTGGAGTCAGATCCGACTCATAGAGACCCCTCCTTAGGTTTCTGAGGCAGTATCACTACGGAATTAGATTGCCCAATATTCCTTCCAAGGAGTGGCTGGGGGGTTTTAACTGCCAGCCTTCTGGTTAGTAGTCAAATGCTTTAGGCACTACCCTACCAGAACTCCAAACCCACTGCCATCGATGCTTCTTACTCATAGCAACCCCATTGGGTTTCCGAGGCTGTAAATCTTTAGAGAAGTAGATTGCCTAGTAAATGGCCACAAAGTCCTTTGAAATTCTTAAATGTTATGATTTCAAAAGAGTTAATAACTGGCAAAAGGTTGAGATCATTAAAAAGTTTCGTAAGGTGCCCCTCCATGTGGTGTACTCCACTAGTGAAACAGATTTGAGATACGGTGACAAGTATAAATCTTAGTGAGCAAGATGCAAATCAA